GGCTTGTGCTTTGTTCCTTTTTCTTTTTCTTTTTTCTTTTTTTTCTTTTTTTTTTTTTTTTTTTTTTTTGAGATGTCTCATACTTTTGCAAATAATATAAAATCAAGCAATCATTTTAGCTTTTGCCAATAATAAAAATGAAGTATTTAGCAACGGATTCTCTATTTCATTAGGTGATATCAGCTGATTTCATGCTAAAATCTATTTTCTGTCTTCCTAATTTAGGCTTCTCTGGCAAACTTGAAGTTTTAAAAATGAGTGGCTTTGATTTCCTTCCAGGTAGAAGTAAGTATGAATTCATTTGAAGGCCTGAATATAAAAATTATAGATATTTATGTATTTTCATTTGGTGCATCATATTAAGGGCTTTTAAATATATTTCTTCAGCTGTGTAGCTGATGCTGCAGAAGGCCTTATTTGTCCAGGGTCGCCTTCATTCAGTGAAAAGTTCTTCCCTAGAAATAAGTCATATTCTCTGATATTTCTCACAATTTTATGTGCTTTACTTTCAACACATCATTTTGTCCACATCTGATGTGCTAATATTTAAATATTTTCTGTTTATAAGGGACTTGATATCACTGCTATTATTGTTTTGTTACTTTAGCCAGCAATGCTTTACTTGTTTGACCAGGAAGATTTTCATTTTTTTTCCAGTAATATATGTACCAATTATGGCTACTGCATTTTTGCTCTTAAAATATATTGTAGAATGTAAACCAAGACTTTAAGACAAACTTTGTGGAGCGAAGTACATGAAGCCCTATACTTTGCCAGTAAAATGAGACTTGATTTTTTTAAAAACAAATGCATTCTGACTGTCTCAGGAAATCTTGATCTGAAATAAAATAAATAAAGAAGTTTAACTACTATCCAACAAGTCTTTAGCATGACGCAGAATGGTATGGTCTTGTCCATGTCAGGAATTGTATGTAAGTCTCTTCCTATGCTTTATGATGCCTCTGCTAGATCCGTTAAGCCAGAACTTGACTGGACTGAATTCCTTACTGTAGAACATAATTCTAGTATGGTCTAAATGCTCTAGTTATTAAACTATGACTCATTCATCAGTCTCAGTGGACAGGCCAATTGTATACAAAGGTGTGGCATGTAGGAGCAGCAATTACTTTGACTTCATTGCTTGTGTGGTGATGCTTTAGGTGAATCATTCGGTTTCATATTTAGACCTTCTAAATTTATCTAGGTCTTTGTTCCTTACTGGATGGCTTTTGCATTGGATTCAGCTTCTCTGTAATTTTTACTCCCATCTATAACATACAGATACCAATTTAACCTCTGATGGGACTGTAGGAGATTAAAACTTTAACAAGTGTGAGGCATGCTGTGTTTGTGGCTATGTATCAGATTTCCTAGATGGGGAATCTATAGTAGCTACAGAGACTCCTTGGATAGAAAACTTGCTTTGGGAATCCCTTTACTTCCTGTAAGATGTCCTAGGGTTTTCTGATGTTTAAATAACAGCAAAAAAGTGAAACTTCTATTACTCCTAGACTTTAACCATGCTTGTAAATCTTGAGCCTGGACTAATATCAATTTAATCAAGTTTATCAAATTAATTAAGAAAAATGAATAGACTAATGCACTACAACTCTAATGGGCACATTTGCCTCTAATGGTGTTCACTTTCTACTGACTCTGAAAATATTGCATGTTCTTGTTGCTAGCTTTTAAGATCTCATGTATTTGGCTACTGGAAGGCTGTGCATTGCTGTTTTTCTGGAATACGGGTGGAAAGGTAATAGGATTTTTCTTCTTCCTACTGTGTTTATTCCTTACATCTGTTTGTTACAAACCTATTAATCACAGAGGCATTAATTGTTCTAGTTTAAATCTAGGACACTGAAAATTATGATCCCTGCTGTATAATGATTTGATTATACATAGGTTGCTTCGTAAGTAATGCCTCCTATTTCTTTCCATGGAAACTGCACCCAGTACAAAGAATGCAATAACTCTACTTGATAGACCAAATTCTCAGCTTAAAAATGCTGTTTTTCAGCATGGTCACCACCATTAGCTGTGCATTATTGCCAGCAATGAGCAAGAGCCTGCATGCTGTGCTCATACATCTCTGCGCCAGCGGAGGTGACCTGCTGTCACTGTTGTTACTGCCACTGCCACACTGTGCTCACAGCCACTGGTTGGTCTCCATATATATTCAGCAAGTGTCAGTGAATGTCAGTAGGTGCCATTTTTTATTCATGGAGAAATTCAGTTCCACACACTTTTGCTTCATGCACACTTCCATGTCAGACACCATTCTGTTAGACTGCCCCTCTGCTGCCATCTATCGCACAGTCACAAAATTTAATGGAATATTTGCAGGAAGGTATTAAAATAGGAAGTTTTTCTTTTTGAGTAGCTCTTGTAAATGCTAAGATGTGTGAAGAAATAAAAGCTGTAGTGGAAACTTCTAATAAAATATAAAACTCTTCCTAGCATTTGATATGGACATACAACATTTTCTATATTATCTTTTTATTTCTTTATATTAATAACTATATTAATTTGTATTTGAGTGATTTGAATCAACTGTTCTTTCTAGAAACATTCAGATGCCTTCCTATGGAATATTAGCTGTACATTATTGTGAACAAAATGTTGAAACATTGAACATCTTCAGGTAAAAATTTCTTTTTCCTTAAAACATGTTTATTAAGCTGCTGAATCTATGCAACCATGGAATTGTGTTCCACTCCATTAGAATAAAGGATTTATGCCAGTTATAAAATGCAAAAATAGGTGGTTTAAAATGATGTCACTTGGCTTATCAGTTAACAGGTTTTTTTTATGACTATCTGGTTGATGTTCTTAACATAGTCCTCTCTAAATAAGCCAAAACTTTTTAAAAAATATTTGAAAATATATACATGAAATTTTTTTCAGTGTCCTGATGTTATACAGAGACTATTAGCTCTGCACTCAACTGGTCAGGATTTAAATGGTACATAAGGAGGATTACATAATTAACAGTAAAAATATATACGTATTTCTTTGTCTTTTCATATTTCCCCTTTCATACAAGTTATTAAAAGAAACAAGGGCTTATACTGTATTTTGATTATATTACCTCATTTTTAAGATGGTTTATTCTCAAGGGATTTTTTTTTTTTTTTGGAGTGATGTGGCATAACTAGTCTTGTCCACTGATCTGAAGTTGTTATTATTATTACACTGTTTTCATATCTGCACATTTGCTCAGTATATTCCTTCCAAGATTTTATGAACTGAAAGTCCACTTAGAGTTTTACAGGTAGGTTACAGACTTTTTGATCACTGAAACATACTTAATATTTTAAATATTTTATAACAAGCTCTACCATCATCTTGAAATGCTCTCTCTTAGATGTATAAATCTAATTTCCTTTGAAGATATATGTAATAGAAATACATCCTGTATATATATATATATATCTGTATTAGAAAAATGAGTTATCATTTTTATTGCTCCCCATGAAGGCTAATTCTCCATTAAATACATTAATGAAGAAGGTAGGGGCCATGTAGTAAAAACACCACCGAATTTTCCTAGTTTCTTTCCAAAAGTCAGAATTTTCTAAAGATTATAGGATATATATGATCTTTCTCATAAGAGTGCTGATTATTTCTGACTGTTTTTGTTTTATTCCTGTATTTTATGTATTTTACATATACTGTAGTTCTTTTACAATTGAGTTTATTAAGTAACATTCTTAAAGGGAACAATATTTCAGAGCATTTGAAAGTGTAATGTTTAATTTCATTAATTCAGTTGCTGTGTGAGATAAGTGAAAATCGTATGTGAAGATGAATCTTGAAGGCCTTCCCAAGGAGAAATGATCTTATAAAGTGTTTCAAAAATAATAAAACCTGTCAGCAGATGATTAATTTGACTTTGAAAATGATGCCATTCTTGAGTTATTGCTCGAGAATATAGCCAGAAGTATTTAAGCAGGTCAATGCTTTTCTGTATCTATATTTTAAGAATAAGGCCTTATTTGAGAGCTGAAATATCCCAAATTGAATTGGGAAGTTGTGTGAAATGCCTGATAATTAAAAAATGAAGTACAAATATCTGTTTATTGTAAACATATGAATGGAAAATATATTGCAAATTTATATGCAAACTTTCACACAAAAAATATGGTTTTAATCTACATTTTCTAATTTGCAGTGCTTAATCATTGTTTTTTCAAATTGACACTTGCTTGTGTAGGTTTAAACAGAACAGATATTTTCTTAAACTGTGTCTCATCCAACTGTTGTCTAAACTTTTCACTAGATTTGCACAAGTTCTCAGCCCACAGGAAATCTGAGCATGGGTTTTATAAATAGAAGCAAATTAAAGAAGCAGGACAAAACTTAAGGAAATTTTTAAGTTTTGTTGTCTCCCATGGTTTGTTCTCCTCTTCCTTATTTAGTTATTTATTCATTTATTGATTTACCTTTTGGCCTTGATGTCATATGTCTTATTTTCAAATGCTAATGTTTCCTATTAATTCAAAGTGTTTCTTTCACTAGAGATGGGCTAGCAGGCCTGTGAAATCAGGGGAGAAATTCCTCCACTTTCTCTTTGAAAGCTAAAATACTGTGACAAAGTCCAGCATGGCTGGAGCCTGTTAGCAGGTCAGCTAGCTTGTGCTGAAAGCAGCGCACCCCGAAATGTCAGACAGCAGGGCTATTGGCGAGAGCTAATTAGGAGCAATTAGCAGGTATCCCCGCTGGGCAGATCGCTATTACCTTTCTCCTCCGTACCCTTCCCCCTGCTGTCGTTGTGGAGAAGCGAGTTGTGGCAGCGATGCTTCCCAGAGTGCGTGTGTGTGTGCGTGTGTGTCCGTGCGGGCGCGCTGCGCCCCGGCCCCCTCCCCGCCCCGCCGCATTGTGGAGGGAGGGACCGCGGCCCGCAGCCGCCTCCGCCGCTGTGCGGGGCCGGCAGCTGTCCGAGGTGCTGAGCCGTGCGGGACCCAGAGCTGTCCGAGGTGCTGAGCCGTGCGGGACTTGCAGCTGTCCGAGGTGCTGAGCCGTGCGGGACTTGCAGCTGTCCGAGGTGCTGAGCAGCGCCGCGCCCGGGCGGCATCATGGTGTTTGCTCCAGGTAAGGGCAGCCGCTTCGGGTGCCTATCCCAGGGAGACCAGCGGGAAGGCCCTGGCCACGCCGGAGAGTCTGCTCCGGGGTCTGTGAGGGAGGGAGTACCAGCTGAACCAGTACTACTGCTGGGCAGGGATAGGAGGTTTCATAGGGAGGGATTCAGCTGAAGGCTATAAGGGTCACCCCTATGGTTTCCAGCAGGGGCAGGAACCTTACACGTGCAAGGGGTTTTGCACATTAGACTGCACAAAAGAAGGGTCAGGGAGGGGAATGGAGCCCTGCAATGCCTCGGGAGTGAATGCCCCCAGCACTGGTGGCTGTCAATGAAACAAGCTCTGAATCTCTGGAGTTATTTTACAAAATTCCACCATCACTACTCCCCCCTCTCCCTTACTCCCCTCAAAGTATTAGAATGGAAGTGTACAGAAAGTTTGTTCAGGCCAGTTGTTACTGGAACAAAATTGAAGACTTCAGCAGAATCTCATGTGACACTTCACTCCGTAAGGGAGTTTTGCTGCATGGTATAACTATACTACACCAGAAAGAAACTGTAGAGAACCTGCATTGGATGTAATACATTCTGCTTACAAGTCGGCAATTTATTGTTCAGATATGGATGAGAGGCCTAGTAGCTCTCAGATATTATAGTCATGCATAACATTTTCTGTAGTGAATGACTTGCAATTCATTTCTTTAAAAATGCATAGCTGTCAGTAAAATAGTGAGTCGATAGAAAAGGGAAAGTGAATGCTGCAACTTGACAATGAAGAATTATTGAAGCCTTTGTTTTGCAAGGCTTACAGAAGTCTTGCTTTCCTTTGAAATTTCATGTCTCATCTGTGAAGGGGTAAGAACCCAAAACTTTTACACCCTCATTAAATGAAAAATATCTTGGGGTTCACTTTCCTAACTGAACAGCTGAAAGGCTAACCTTTTGGGAGATAAATATCCCCCTTCAATAATCAGAAGTTGATTTTGCCTCTCATACTGCCAAGTTGTGGACTAATATACTGCTTTCCCATAGAGACTGTCCTGAAGTTGGGATCAAGTTGTTTATCTCAATAGAACCAGACACTGTTTTATGTAGTATACCTTTCAGTATTAGTGGCTTTTTTTCCGAGTTCCTTTTATCTGACAGTCTGTCACCACTAACTGAACTCATTTTTTAAATGCACTATGGGACTGAAATACTGCAGGGTTAGATTACCTCTAAAATAATGTAAACACGTTGTTTTTTGTCATCCTCAAAGACTGACAATTATTAAAAACCTGATCTCATTAATAGCTGCATAAATTGTTCTTTTCACAACCCTAATCCATAAAGAAAAAAAAAATCTGTCTTGTATAATCATTCTTCTCAGCCTATTTTTACATAAAGAAAAGCCCTTGGTTTCCTTGCAAATGTCATAATGTACGTAGGGTAACTAAATAGGAATTTGTAGAAGAGATGATAAAATAATCAGAGAGGTTTGACAATCTACAGAGCAAGCCTGAGTGGATTACATTTTTGCTGATCGCTTTTCTTCACTGTCAGTCAGCTTTATCCTGGCATTCTCTCTTGTTTCTGTATGTGTATATTTTAAAAATCAGGGGTTTGTACATCTTTAATATCTTCATAGTAGCTATAGATGTGGCTATATCACATAAGAACTCTATACATTTAATAAGAAGTTGGGTTTCATTTTCCTGTCTTAACTTTCTGATTTTATTGTACTGTGATGAATGACCTGATCTCAATTTCATTTATTTGTTTCTTATGGTCTGGGGAGGGGAGGGGGGGAATAAGATGAAATAGAAAAAGATTTGTCTATTTATAAATGGTTGTACATTATATTATTTAGGCTCAAAATTATAAACATGCTTCAGGAAGAGGAGAAACACAGACACACAAACACACACATGTGCACACAAAGAAAACAAACTAAAAAAAATCTCTTCAAGGAAAAGTTTGTTTAGCTGAAGACAAAGGTAATTATTTGCATGTCAATGAGATGAGGCTTTACATTATTGAAGAGCACTGGATTGATGTGCTATGTTCATAAACTAGCAAGTAGCAAAAGCCTACCAAATTAAAACATAAGTTTTTGAAGACAAAGACAACTACCTATTGATGGAATAGAGATTTTACTTTTAATCTTCAACTCTTTTTCCTAGCTCTTACAACCAGCTGCTAAAAAACAGCAACAACAACAAATCCTACAACATTAGACCAAAATAAACCAAAACCACAGGCTTCATTATTATTAAAATGGATTTGTAAAAAAATATTACATAAAGATCATTATTTTACTAAAGAAAAATAGACATTCTTGCTCACTCTGCCTTGTTCTGGCAAGTACGTTGCTGCTTACAGGTGTGTGCAAAAGCAACTATTCATATCTGATCTTCCTTCACACCCAATTTTCACTAACTTTGACTCTTGGTTTAAATTGCTGTATAGTCTGCTGGAGAAAAGAACTGAGAAGAAGACCATTTTTCCTTGTATGATTTAATCTGACTGGAGCTTCATTGTACTTTCCTATGGAGGTTAACTTATGGTAGGTTGGTATAGGAAATGAAATGCCAACACTAGATGTCTGGGAGATCATTCTACCTAGAGGATTCCCACATGATACAGCTGTTTATAATAGGTTGTAATAGGTGATTATCCATATAATGGAAATGTAGACAAACTATTACTTTGCAATGTTTAGTTTGTTTAGCTAAATGTTTAGCTTTTCCTGAATTTAAGTGCTTCAAGCAGAAGTAGACAAGAAAGTTTTACTTATCATCAAATGTAAGGATGGAGGACTGCAGTATGGAAACATGACATTTCCAGTGTTTGTATTAGGCCATAAAGAAGTTGTTGAAGTGAAAGGTTGTCTTAGGAGACTTCAGAAGATAATAGATTCTGAACTTTAAAAATAAAACAAAAATTTGTCCTATTAGCATACAAAGGATTGATATTTGTAAATAATTCTACAACTTATTGCAAGGTAATAAATGAAGAGTTATTAAAATGTTTCTTTTTTTCTAAAACATCAGGAAAAATCATGAAGAGATGACTTTTGAATGCAGCAAGCTAGCTCTATTGTTGGTTTGAAAAGAAGAGGTCACTTCCAATATCAGGCCGTCTATCCGTAACGTCAGTATCTATCAATCATTTTAAATGCTCCTAATCAATGTTATGCTACTTTATTTTCAAATTACTTACAGTTACTTTTCAATAATAATAATAACAATAATAAAAAAGCAAACCAAAAAACAGAAGGTCTTGGGCATACTCTGTGCTTATTCAAGGCCCCAAAACTTTTCATATGGAACATTAAAATAAAAATGGAAAAAAAGTGGGTTTTTTTTTTTCTGATTCATCTGAACAAGGGTGATACAAAAGATGTTTATCATTCTCCCAGGATTTTTTCTAATGCTATTTTGAACATGAATCACTCCAACACTTTTGCCTTAACCTTCTACCCTCTGCGTGTCTGCACTGATAACGCACAAAGGTTGCCTGCATTTCAAAACTAGCTTGGAATCTTGTTAAAGGTATATGCTACCAAATGGGTTTCCTAAGCAACTCTCTCACTAGGACATCAATTAAAAGATTATTTTAGTATCTGTTGAGATTTTTACTCTATAATGTAAGACTGTAAGATATTACCAAATTAGAATCACATGGCAGGTTATTACTGTTTCACCAAATCAATACTGTACCATGCTATGTTTTGTTAAAAATGAATTTGTATATTTTTTTCAGAAAAGAATTTGTTTTGATCTGGATATGTCAGGAAAGACTACAGCATTTATATTGGCAGCTTATCAGAACATTTCTATCCTCTAAGTATCTACTTTGAATTGTGCAATTCCATCCTTCAGTTGATTCTTGTTATTTTTCAGTGTAATTTTGAAGATTTCTTCTTACCTAAATCCAAAAACTCATTGGCTTTTCTCATGAAGGAGGAAGAGGTAGTAAATCATTTTTTTAATCAATATTTCTCTGTAAAAAAGATGTGTGAAAACGCTTGAAGTTTGAAGATATTTAGACATTGCAGAAGTCAGAACGTTCACTGCTTGGCACCTTTCTTCTGCAACAGCAATTCAAACAGCTTTTCAGCTAGCTCTTCACAAGCACAGTCTTCACAGTGGCTGACTAGTGGCTTATATTAAAAGAATTATTCATAGCTAAGAGTTGGTAATAGTAAGTCATATAGTCATTATTAATGTTCTTATTAGCACTGTTTTCCAAAAGCCAAATTGTGAGTGTGCAATGGGAATGAGTTACATTGACCTGTAAAGTTTCTTCCTCCAGACTGTTACTCTTCCATATGAATTGCTCTTAGTTCTCACAGACATACATAATATGATTCTAAGCTTGTAAGCTTTAACATGATAATGGAAATTAAATACCATGGAATACAGCAAAGCTTTAGATTTCTCCCTATATCTTCAATCTTACACATTAGGTATTTTATTAAGGACTTAACATATCGTGTTTACACGTAAGAAGTTAAGCGTAAGTTCTTTGCAAGCAATGTATGAAGTAATTTCTTCATAGGCCTTCTGAAATTATCTGAGAGGTTAGCCATTTTTGTTATGTTCTTTCCCTAATATTTTGCAAGAATAAGAATAAGATTTTATTACTGCTATTATTATTTGCAAGAATAAGATTTATTATTTTTTAAGAAGTTGCAATTGGAGCAGAATCTTTATTGATGTTAACAGAAATGAGAAGATGACCTGAATAGCCATAAAATTCCTATAGAATGCCTTGCCAAGGAAGTCAATGCAGGTGAGCTCTGTGCTGGTGTCATCTGACCCGGCAAATGCTTGTAGTCATGTTGTCAGAAGATGCTGTCTTCTTTCTTAAAGATAGTCTGAAATTTTCTGCCTGAAGAAGTAAGTTGAGCCATGCAGATATTTCTGTAAGGCAAGTGTAATCTCTTTCATTTGCTTCACTTTGTAGTATGCATATTTGATATAATGACACTATTTTCTTACTTTGATCAGGGAATCAACTTACCATTTAT